ACTGGCAGAGAGCAGTTTATTTATGAGGCTCCAACCAGAAAGAAAATAAAAAGTCAGCACATCCAGACTGGATTTACTGACTTGTTGTTTCGACAACTAAGCTGAACCAATGAAAGTGTTTCTTAAAGTCTTAGAGGAAGTCCTGTGTTTGCTCAGTGTGTGTGTGTGTGTGTGTGTGTGTGTGTGTGTGTGTGGCTGGGACTTTATACTGCTGGGATGCCAGTTCGTCCACAGACCCCACATCACCCTGAGCCTTCAAGCTGTGAAAACAGACCGAAGGTTTGTTGGTTCTTTGTGGCTAATAAGGTGTCATTGTGTGGTGGAGCTGTCTGATGTCCCACAGAGTCATTAGGACGACAGGAAGATTTACCGCTGCATCTTACGTTCTCTGGCTCCCACTTCTCCACAGAAATCTATATTTGTAAGATTTTCTGTTCATGCTTTCGTCTACAGCAGGGAGTCCAAACCTGAACAATCTTCAGGGCTGCAGTTTTTTTTGTCAATTCAACTTTAGACTTCAGTTAAGGGACATATGGAACAAAATACTTTATTATTTATGTTAAAAAAATGCTTTAAAGGTCAGATAAACTCAAAAACAGAGCAAAGACAAAAAGCTTTAAATATGTATAAGTTGCAAAATTTAAGAAAATACAAATTTATAGTTTGACCAGAAATTGATGATTGTTGAGCAAAATGAGCAATTAACTTTTAAATTTTATTCAACTTTTTTATTCAACTTTTTTTTATCTTTTTCTTTTTTTTGCAATAACACTGCAAAAATGTAGCTTTTAAACGCAAGAAATAGTCAAAAAAGTTTGGCTAGGGTAGAAATTGCAAAAAATTTGCTAAAATTAGAAGAAAGTCCAACAATTAAATTTCCAAAATTTCTAGACAAATTCTAAGTTTGTCTAAGAAAACAGAAAACAGAAGACCAGGAGTGATGATTTACCAGAGGCCCATTTCAGGCCTTATAGAACCTGTCCAGTGTGTGGACCACGGCTGGTCCACGACTCCCACTTTGAACAGCCGTAGTTTTACAGCTAACCTATAAACCCTGACTTCATCCAGACAAGCTCATAATGAACTCTTTCATTCTTTTCATCCATCCTCCTTAAATCGTCACTTCTTCCTCTGCCGTTATCAAGAAATAATGATATCACGTCTGGATTTCTGTGTGGAAAAAAAAAAGGAACATTCTGGAGTTCTGTCTCGCCGCTCGCCCTCGTTAGCTGCGTGCCTTGATTAGAGGCTATCTGGAGCTGCTCTTTGAAGAACGCACCCTGTCTTTTCTCATCCTCTGCACTTGATCCATCTTGGCAAGCTGGCATTAGGGCTCACTGCGGTTTCACTTTAATGGAGTGAACATGGATATCACTGTCAACTGTGGGAGCCGTGTACATTTGCAGGACTGTGGTTTGTTATTCCTTTAGATATGAGTAGGCTGATAGAGAAACGCTTGCCTTCCGAGGCTGGAGCAGAGAAAATAGACAGGTCTCTGTGGATCTGGCTCTGGTTCAGGACTGAGTGAGTGAGAGCCTGAGCTGCGTCTGCCTTGATGTGACCTTGGGGAGGCCTTGGTTAATGACGCTCTGGGCTCTCTCATGACCGCCGTGTCAAGTTGTGTGAGTCAGTAATATACACTTGACTTTATCAAAACACCCACTCGCTGCTCATTGATAAGGACAAGAGTTTTCCTCGTCCGTCAACATGGCCGCCGCTCCACGGTCAGCTGACAGCGTCGTGCCGTAAATCTCCCTCTGAAAAAATCAGAGCTTTCACTTCTGCTCTCATTGTTCATGGAGTTGTCAGGCTCTGACAGTCGGTAAGTGACTGATGACGGCTTTGTCTTTATTAAAGATCAACAGCGGAGAAGGCGTCCTTTGGTGACATCATTTCTGAGAGAAGCAGCTGTGTTTTCTCAAAGTCACTCCTGCGGCAAAGCGCTGAACTCCGTGGAGAAATTTGCCAAAAAATGTACACGGAGAGTGGGTGTAAAAACTAAATGCTGTTTCGGGGCTCGGTTTTTAAAAATAATAAGGACTGATGCTGCTGTGGCCTTGTGGGACAGCGTCTGCGGGGCTGGAAATGTAACTGCAGCATCCAGATGTGGGATTTGTTGCACAACACGTCAAAGGAGTCGGATTTTATCGCTCAATTAAAATACAGATACAGTTCAAGCATCTAAAATATGTTTTGGTGAAAATCCAAGATGCATCAATGATTACAACTGAGTTACAGGCAAGAATGAATGATGAGATTCTAATCTGCAACAACAGCAACATCTATCGTATCAATGACACCTTCACAGTTGTAGGAAAAGATGAACTTCAAACCCAACGCCATTCTACAGACAAGTCAAATATTTCTGAATAAAATAATAATAAATCAGTGACAAGAAAAGAAAAAAAACAAACCAGAATTTACCCAGCCTGGAGGATATGCAGGAATTCACCCTCTAAAAACACCAAGCAGGTTTTAATAGTGTAGCACTGTTTGTCCCTTGAGTCACATTACTGCCATCTAACTGCTCTGTTCCCACTGGTAAACATTCCTGCATGAACTTTTAGAGCATTTGCAAAAGAAAAAAGAAGAAGAAAAAAAACAAAACTCCACCTCCATGTCCCAAAATAACAAAGAAAAAAAAACACATCAGAATGCACTCATTGTTGTAAGAAATAACATGTCAACCTAACATAATAAAGTAAATCAGATTAAAAATTGTATTGGATTTAAACCAAGGCAGAAACATACACAATATATATCCAACAAGTCCTGTTTCCAGTTCCAGAGTTTTCTTGAATTTTTTTTTTCCATTATTTGGATTGGGTGAAAAAATGAAATATACATTTGTTGTTATCTGTCTTCATGTTCTGGAAATATATACAAAATACAGAAAAAAAATATTTTATCTTGATTAATCACGATTAAACGTAATTGATCCTCAACTACACTGTGATTAATCAGATTAAAAATGTTAATGTTTGATAGACGTAGAAACACCATTGAATCACATGGTTTTCTCGTGAGTTACTGAATTATTTTAATTCATTAATTAATTCAATTTTAATTTAACAACAGGAACTTTAGAGACACCTGGAGTTATACAACGTAATAACAACAATAACAGCTCTGTGGCTCTGACTGTTTTAATATATAATGTTGACAGTTTTTGTTTGAGTTTCACCGGCAGGTAAACAGGTCGTTCACCTGTGAGGAGCAGCTGGGATCAGCACCATGGACAGAGCCTCAGACAGGTACAGCGGCCACACCTCATCTTCCTCTTGTCGTGCGTTCCAGTCGTTTTTATCAACTAAAATTATACGTCGGAAGACGTTTTAACTCGGCAGGATGTTTATTAATTTGTAAAAGGAAAACAAAAACAACAACATAAAAATGTGTGGACTTTTTTTTTTCTTTTGGTTAATTAATCTGAATTTCCAGAAGAGAAAGAGACCAGGTCCTGCTTAAACGAGGCTGTGTTTTCCCCCCAAAACAATACTCCACTCTCAGGCCACCGCTAAGATGTAAATGGATGTTCACTGGTGTTGTGACCTCTGACCCTGGCTGCCCCCTGGTTTCCTGAACCAGATGCTGCTCCTGTGGATCACTACCTTCTCAACCTAAACAAAGTAATCCTCCACTAAACAAGATGGATATTGTATCACCATCCCAGTAAACACCACAGGGCCTCAGACACAGGGCTGCCCTTCAGCCGCTCTGGAGAAGAGTCACTTATTGTATTGTTCCATGGATGAACAAAGGAACGCAATTGATTTTCTCCCTGCTCTTTTACATATGTTTTGTGGGTATTTTGCAGTGACGAAAAAGCATGCGCTTGTGTGTGTGTGTGTGTGTGTGTGTGTGTGGAGAAGATAATGAGAGTATGAAGAGAAGGCTCTGAAACACTGCAGCATTGGCCGCCTGTCAAAAATGTTAGATTGGGATCATGTGTTGCCTATAGAAAGTCCTTTGAACTGACTTGGTTTAAGTCAGACTGGATGGAAACATAAATCCACAAATCCATGTGGGTGAAATCTACAGGGACGGGCCAAGTTTGCATAACAGAGAAGTGACAGACCCCCCCCACACACACACACACACCTCCTCGCTACAACTAGTGGGGATTACGTTGGTTAGACTCAACATTAAAAGTGTCTCACAGTGATGTGTGAACTGTTCTTGTTGTTTGTTTTAGTTACACGGAACTTAACCACCGTAAAATGCCATAAAACACAAATAATAAGGTACAAATTGGCTACAGAATGATTTCAATTTGTAGGTCATAGAAATATGATATTTAAAATAAATTCATGGTTCAGTGGAATGATTTGTCTTCACATCAGTGACCTGTATGGTTGCAGCAGGAGGGCTGACTGACAGCAGCACGACCCACAGACCGTGACAGAACGCTGAGCAAAACTGCCAAGAAAAAGAAGAAGAAGAAAAAATTAAGATGACTTTAGTTTCATTATTCATGGGCCCAACACACGACAACACGTTCTAGAATTCCCTTGGCCAGAGGTGTGAGATACTTAGTAGATCTGTGTATTAGACACCGTGGGGTCAGGGAGAGTTTGTTGTTGTATGATCTCCTTATAAATTCCTAGATTTCCTTGTGAACAAACGACATCCAGATACATGAAGACAGATGATCCAATTATATTCACACCAACTGGTCCAGGACGCTATGGCAGAAGCAGCAGCACCCAGATGATGTAATGCCCTTACGTGACCCCCCCCACTCCCCCACTCACTCCTCTTTACTTATATAACAGTAGCTGACGTTCCTCGTTTTGCATTCTGCACTGTATCATTATAATAATTAATAATAATTATAATAATATTGCATTGTGTTCAAATGTATCTTTTAATGCACACAAAGACATTAGGCATTTGAGCAGGTTGAAAAAAGTGTAAAAATTTCGAGGTGGGTACGATAACTTTTTTATGACCCCTTATTTGTTTGTTTGTTGTTTATTTCTATCAGTGTTTATTTCCGGCCTGTTCTGACTTTGTTCTCCACAATAGGTTCTTATTGTGGCAGTCAAACCTTTTCACTGCCAAGTCTGAATTAAAAAAAAAGTTTTTAAGAAGGATACTTACACCACCATACACTTCTAGTGGCTCATTAAAAGTGATTGATATAATTTGTAGTGTTGTTTTCAGTGATGTTCCTGTTCTGTGTTTTATTCCCAGTGGACTGTCCTGCTGTGGCTGTCACGCCTTTATTTCTGCCAGGTATTAGTTTGTTAAAGAATTCCAAGTTTAAAAAAACTAACTTTGGTAAACTGAGCTGAGGTATACAGAAATATTTGAGCTTTTTATTTTTTATTTTTTGATCTGTTGAATGACTGGTTTCCACATGCTGTAATTGACAGAACTGTTTTTGTTTTTTCTTCTGTTGTTTTGAAGTTTGAATGTTTATTCCCCCCAGGGTAATTTTATGGACTAGCTGCCTCCTTCCTCTGAATCTGTGTCCAGATCGTTTCTGATAGACCCCTGGCTGCTCCCTCCCCCTTTTCCTCACGTAATTCATCATCTTGGCCAATCCTGTCCCTCCCCAAAAAGTTTACGCCAAGCCGCCTATAAAGAAGTGCTTAAGTTTCTCCAGTACCAGAAAAGTCTTGTCCTCCCAGGGACCCATCGATGGATACGTTGACGCACAGAGCTACAAGTGGACTCTCTCCTTGACTTCATGAGAGGGGAGTCGTTTTTGGACACTTTCTGGCCACCGTCTGCCCAAAGTGGAGATGTCTGAGGAAAACATCGGGGAAGAATCGAGCAGCTCCCCCGTCTCTCCAGTGGACAGCCTGAGCAACAGTGAGGGGGAGCTGGACCGACAGCCCAAGAGGAGTGGGAGGAAGAGAAGACCGAGCAGGAAGAACGGTGAGGAGTCGGACAGTCCAACACCTGGGAAGAGAGGGAAGAAGTCCAGCAGCAGCGGCAGCCCCCAGTCCTTCGAGGAGCTCCAGTCCCAGAGGATCATGGCCAACGTCCGGGAGAGACAGAGGACGCAGTCCCTCAACGAGGCGTTCGCCGCTTTGCGCAAAATCATCCCCACGTTGCCCTCGGACAAACTGAGCAAAATACAGACCCTGAAACTCGCAGCCAGATACATCGACTTCCTCTGCCAGGTTCTGCAGAGCGACGAGCTGGACTCCAAAATGTCAAGCTGCAGTTATGTGGCCCACGAGAGGCTGAGCTACGCGTTCTCCGTGTGGAGGATGGAGGGCGCCTGGTCAATGTCCACATCTCACTAGCACCTGGACAATCTGTGCCCCCC